TATCATATAATAATATTAAATCTCAAATTTTAATTGAAAATTTAAATTTTGTTTTTAACCAAATAAGATAAAATAAAAAAATTATTATTATTCCATACTTAGGCACCAAACCGTTCTTTTAAAAATCCTACAACCTAAGCCCAGTCCCCTGTCAGAGAGACTCACAGCTACGGGGCGGGACTGTAGTTGCTTTTTTATTACAGTAAAAAGCTACTTTCCTCCAAAGTAAAATGACTTTTTTGTCCCTATCATCGTGAAACTCCAACACGGCAATACCAACATTCTGGTTATGAAGCGTCATGCTTGAATTTACCTTGGAATAACAGCTAATTTCAAGAAATAGTAATAATAATATTGATACAAATTAGTCACCAGAGCGCGAATCATCAAAATCCACACCGCAGTCGCGAAAGGGTTTCGGCTGGCGATTGAGTACAGTCACTACAGTGATTATAAAGCTGCAGACCATCGCGACCGAAGTTGCAATGGTGACTACAGCGACCAGTTTCAAGAGCTCTCCCTCTGGTGGGAAGAAATTCGGAGATGCTTCGATTAGGAAACTACGTGAGAACGATGAAGAAGAACGAGAGTTAGGGTTTCGATTGCGTTTGGTTTTAGGGTTTGTGTGACCTAAATTTGGGCGATAGTTGATAAAGATGACAGACTGGTGCAAGAAGACATCAGTAGCTTCCTGCTGTGCAATCAGTTGGCGCAAAATCTTTGGGGTTAAAAGTTGAACTCGATAATTTTTTTTTTTTCCCACTATATTGTTTAGTCTTTTTTTTTTTTTTTTTGGCTATCCTATATTGTTTAGTTTGGGTTAAAAAAGAAAAAATAATTATAATTATAATAAGAATAATTCTCATTAATATTGTCACGCCCGAATTTCAATAAAGGTTTCCTCACCCAAAACACTACATGCATGACTAAAACTAAAATCTCATTATTTAACAAAATAAAAACCAATAGCCGAATTATTTACTAGAAATAAGTAACAGTACATATAAGGAAAAGATAAGGTGTTCCATATGAGCAACGAGAAACAAAATCCTTTAGTTACATTATTCCATTCTAAAATATCTTGCATCCAATAGAAATAAACTAAACATTTATTAAGTAAGCTTGTCATAGCAACATCAGTTTTGCTTCATAGGCGCCTTACCTGAAATGTTAAATAAAGGGTGAGTTTACAATTCAACAAGTAAACTCTTATTACCTCTTACCAAAAATTGTACAATATATCATAGAATTTATTATTTTTATATCTTTTCTTCCACTTAGTCTTATGTACAATTCCTAGTATTCTGGAGGATAAGGAACGAATTCTTTTCATTCTATCTTAATATTAATGAATATAGGGTAAGGAACGAATCCAGTAAGTAGTGGTAAGAAACAAATCCATCCAACCAACCAACCAACCAACCAACAATAGGTAAAGAACGAATCCAACCATCCAATAATAAATATGGAACAAATCCAACCTTTCAATATATGGTAAGGAATGAATTCAACCATCCAATAATAGTTTAGGAATGAATCCAACTTCCCAAGAAAGGGACTCTCAATTTAATTCCAATTAAATAGTACTTCATCATATTTAATTAATTAATTAACAGCATTTCTTATACTCTCGTTAAGAATTAATGTAACACCTTTAGGAAAAACTAATTTTATACAAAATCAATAATCCGTCTAAAGTTTATATTTCAAGATCCCACCAACACCACATGACAACTGTCAAAGCACGTTGCAAATTCAGTGACAACAATTCTATCTTAATCTCTTCTAATTGCCCAAGATTCCCACAATCCTAGTTTTTCCAGTATTTCAATTTCTCTAAACTTATCTACTTTCCAACTGTGAGAAACTAGATTTATATAAGTACATCCACAATTCAAACTTAATAGACCCAGTAATTTATAGTTACCAAAAAAAACTCTATTGCACATCATCTCAACGTAAAATATATATATATATATCTTACCTACATAGTTCCAGTAATTAAAATCCAATCTAATTCACTAGCATTCCATATATAGCTATCATTAAACACAGTTTCCTTTTATCAATCATGCTCCACTCAATTAAATAACAACTCCTTGAATAATAGACTAGGCAATCAAGTTCAAATATATATATATATATCTACTCGTGAATATCTATATCCCACCTCCAATATACAATCTCCTCGCACCCCAACTTCAGGAAATAAGGTCCTATGTAATCATTACTACCATACAATTTATTCAATACGACTTTCAGTATTTACTCTATACATATATATATCTGCCATTATAGATAAAGTCTATCCAAGACTAGGTATGCGTCATCATACAAACAAATCCCCATAAAATAAAATAAAATAAAATAATAGGCATAACCATAGGTCACATAAATAACAGTTTACATATATGAATTAGTGTAGTCAAAATAATACTCATTTTTATTCACGTTATTTCATACTAAACCGAATCCAGTGAAGTAGTCTATGAAGATGATCTATACACTAATCTACATTCATGCGTATTATTCCTACCTCAGTCTATACTTCAAGTACTGTTCATATCTAAAAATATATTAAAAAATAAAAATCTCTAACATATCACACAATTGAACGTAAAAACTAGCAGAGATCTACTTGCCTTTTAATTATCTCTTCACAGATCTCTTCTTCCAAATTCTTCTCTCCTCCCTGGTTAATCACGTTGAAACCTCATTTCCTTCTCTCTTAATCTTCCCTATACAGAAACCTTTATTATCAGGTAACCACTCCCCCCATCTCACAACTAATGGTGGTATATAATGGCCGCGTGTTTAGTTAGAGAGAATATCGTCAACGTTGAGAGAAAATCACGTTACGTGGTTAACTATCAAATTTTAAGTTATAATACTCATCTGTCATCAACCCTATTATCCCAATATATATAATGTAATAATTAATACAAATAAATAATATATACTTTAAAAAAAATGTGGATGCTACATATATATAATAAAATATAGAATTTATAAATTAAATTTTATGTATATATTATATATACATACTTGAAGATGCAAGAAATTCATACTCTCTTTCTCTCTCTAGAATTCTTACATTTCAACAACAAGATCCCCCTATTCTTTCCATTCCTTCCTTTATTTATAGATATTTACAAGATATTTACAAATACTGACGGATTGCTGGATCTGGGCCTGTTCCTCCATAAGTCCTGGTCACCTTTGATGGGCTTATTCGCGTTCGGCCCATATGGCAGTGTCTTTTTATGGGCCGACCCAGCTGTACGGACCGGATGTAGTGCTTGCAAGTCAGATCCGGCCCATGTCGTCCTGTGCCTCCTCAACTGCCCCCATAATTGCCCCTTATTTAATAAGGGGGTAATTATTGATGGCGTCTCATCATGACGTTGACGGCTCGAGAAAACCACGTGGGGGAACGGACGGTCAGATCCAGAATCAATGTTCCGGGGCTCGATGAATTTCTCGCCTTCCTGACGCTTCGGCCCTCGGGCCCCCCTCGCCTTTATAAGGCTCTAGAATACCACTTCACGTCCTTTTACCGTCTCCATCATCAGTCAAATCTCTCTCTTTCTAGAACAGTGCTAAGCTTTTTCTGGTGAAATCCTTCAAGAGTCATTCTTCCAGCGATCTTGCAGTCCTCTGAGGTTAGTTTTGTTCCTTTTTACTTTCGGCAGGCTTCTATTTACCCCCTTTTAGATCCTTCAAGCACTTCCACCATGGTTGTAGATCTGGATGTTCTTCGTATGAGACTTAGACTTCCTGACAACATCGAAGTTAGGGTTTGCCCTCAGGACGTTAACATTATGACCGGTGCCGGCCTCCTGCCCGGCGAAGTCTTATTCACGAACCTTCAATTGAATGTCGTTAGGTTCCCTCTGCACCCTTTCTTTAGTTATGTTTTCAATAGATTGGGGATATCCCCCCTGCAGGTAAACCCCAATTTCTTTAGAATCATATCCGTTATGCTCCTGTTGATGCGTGACAGAAATCTGGACCTTGACCTCATAGACCTTCTTCTGTGTTATAAGGTCAGTAAGATCCGTACTAACGAACCCTTCTACCACCTCTACCCGTTCGAGAAGATGTCCATATGTACGGACACAATAAAATCTGAAAAGGGTTGGAGGGATAGCATCGTGGGCATTAGTGGGGCTTGGTCTTCGCCGGCTGCAGAGGGTTACCCAATCCCGAGCGCCTTTGGTGTCTGTTCTGTTTCCTCTTATAAGAAATTCAAATCTCATAAACATGATTGCCCCTGTGAAACATGCGTTCCCCGTTTTTGTACTTTCTTATGCCGTTCCTTAGGAATACCTTGTGATGACTTGAGCTACAGTGTTTGCAGGGATAGGAGTAATTACTTGAAGAAATACGTTCTGAACGATATTCCTTCCTGCTCAGATCTCCTCACTTCAGACAACCTCTTAGCGCTCTCATCACTCGGCTACAACATGAGCAGGCTTCAGATTCCTTCTTTTGGCAGGAAGAAAAATACTCCACCAGCCACTCCTGCTGCTGGGGCGACCTCCTCTCCAGCATCAGCCTCTTCCTCAGCCACCATCTCTGACACTATCCCGAGCACAGTGGCTATTAACTCCGTTGTCAGCACCCCTGCTGCCAACCCGAGCGCGTCTCCCCAAACTACCACACCTCCTGCTACCGCGGGGGGCGTTCGGGATAAAGAACGAGGCAAAAGGCCACATCCTGACAGTGAAGTCGATCCTGAGGAGGAACCTCTCATAAGAAGGACCCGGGTCTCCGGGCCGGGTGCTCTCTTGCATCGTGCGATCAGAGCTCCTGCTCCCTCTGGGCCTACTGCAGCTGGTGGCTCCGCTTCTGCTTCAGGCCCCCCTTCTATCCCCACCTTACCGCCATGGGCCCCTCGGTACACCCGAACGGATGGGACGTTCGTGAAACCGAACGAGACCATGCTGAAGGATGGCCAGACCGCCATAGCATACTATAGGAGCATGTGGACTCCGAAAGACCTTGAGGCGGCAAAGGGCCTATCCCAGAAGGATGTGTTCAGCCGCTTTCCCCAATCTGCTATGGAGGTGACTTTTATTTTCCAACTCATGAATTCTCTCATATTATTTGGTCTTGCCTTCGCCCGACCTGACTATTGGCTTAACCGTTCTTAATGTACACCTATGCAGACATTGTTCGGAATGATGGCTATGCAGAAGCAGGTGGAGATGGGGAACGCCAGGGCTCGTAAGTTTTCTGATAGCCTGGAGGTGGCTAATAAAGAAAACGACCTTCTCGCCATGAAGAATACCGAGGTACTGGCTCGGCTTGAGAAAACTGAACAAGAGAAAGATGTCCTGAAGAAGGAGAATGACTCTCTTCAGGATGAGAAGGATGCCCTCCAGCTTGAAAAGAGCGTCTGGCAGACTGAGCGTGACTCAATCAGAGACGAAAAGGCAGAACTCCAGCGCCTTCTGGCTGATGAACAGTCTGCTCGGATGGCTTTTGAGAAAAGAGCTCTGGACGAGCGTACCGCTCTGATCGATGCGATCAGCAGAGTGAGCGGTGGGATGCTGGCTCTTCACGCTCGGTTCTCAAGGGTCGGTGCTCTTAGATATGCTCAAGGATTCCGGGAAGGTTTCGCCGACCGAGTTCCGGATGAGGGACAGACCAGCTCCACTCCAGATGAGGTCGACAAGGATCTAGGGATCGGACCTCTGGGGGTTTATGTCGACCCAGAACCCACCGAAGCGGAGCGCATATTCGATGAGTGCCAGGACATTGCTTCCTCAAGGATCATCACAGCTCCTCCTACCGCTCTGCCTCTGACCGCTCCTCAATCGTCAACTGTGGTACCTTCCATAGCCACTGCTGACGCTGAGCCCCAGCCGAACGATTCAGTCATTCATCTTGATTCCCCGCCTCGTGAAGGTGAGACGGCTGATGGGGCCGAGGAGGCGGGTCGGCACAACCAGGATGCTGTTGGTACTGAGGCGTCTAGCTAGGGCTCCTTCGGACTCTTCGATTCCATATCTTTTTGTAACGATGGACATCTCACTTTTTGTAAACTCAATGCTTAATATCAATGAAATGACAGAACTCTTTTTCCCTTTGTGTTGTGCTCTGTTCAACCTATTTTCAATACATATATATCTTTTCTCTCTTTTCTTTTATATTAGCTTTGCCGTGTGTTTGTTTATGGCAAGTGCCTGGCGCTTGGCTAGAATGCCACTTGCCACTTGGCTTTAAATTTTTAGCAAGTGTCCGGCGTTCGGCTCATGGTGCCAGCTGCCACTTATCTTGCTTAAGTGCCTGGCGCTCGGCTAGAATGCCACTTGCCACTTGGCTTAAAATTTTTAGCAAGTGTCTGGCGTTCGGCTTATGGTGCCAGCTGCCACTTATCTTGCTTAAGTGCCTGGCGCTCGGCTAGAATGCCACTTGCCACTTGGCTTTAAATTTTTAGCAAGTGTCTGGCGTTCGGCTTATGGTGCCAGCTGCCACTTATCTTGCTTAAGTGCCTGGCGCTCGGCTAGAATGCCACTTGCCACTTGGCTTTAAACTTTTAGCAAGTGTCTGGCGTTCGGCTTATGGTGCCAGCTGCCACTTATCTTGCTTAAGTGCCTGGCGCTCGGCTAGAATGCCACTTGCCACTTGGCTTTAAATTTTTAGCAAGTGTCTGGCGTTCGGCTTATGGTGCCAGCTGCCACTTATCTTGCTTAAGTGCCTGGCGCTCGGCTAGAATGCCACTTGCCACTTGGCTTTAAATTTTTAGCAAGTGTCTGGCGTTCGGCTTATGGTGCCAGCTGCCACTTATCTTGCTTAAGTGTCTGGCGCTCGGCTAGAATGCCACTTGCCACTTGGCTTAAAATTTTTAGCAAGTGTCTGGCGTTCGGCTTGTGGTGCCAGCTGCGACTTATCTTGCTTAAGTACCTGGCGCTCGGCTAGAATGCCACTTGCCACTTGGCTTAAAATTTTTAGCAAGTGTCTGGCGTTCGGCTTATGGTGCCAGCTGCCACTTATCTTGCTTAAGTGCCTGGCGCTCGGCTAGAATGCCACTTGCCACTTGGCTTTTCATTTTTTAGTAGGCCGTTGGAAAAGAAAGTTATTTTTTTTGTAAATTTCAGTAACTTGCACATTCATACGTATTTGATTGACAACAAACAACATCCAATTAGAGCCGAAACTTAGCTTTTATTGGTAGTACCTCTTCAGAGACGTGGCGTTCCAGGGCTTGCTGACCAACCTTCCCGCCATGGTTTCCAACGTATATGCCCCCTTGCTTATGACTTCTGCAATTCTGTATGGGCCTTCCCAGGGTGGCATCATTTTTTTGACCATCCCCACCTTTCTTTTCAGAACCAGATCGCCAGGGGCAAAATCCCTGTGTTTTACTCTTTTGTTGTGACTATTCGCCAATACTTGCTGATACGATGCTAACCTTATAGCCGCTGTGTCCCTCCTTTCGTCTATCATATCGAGGTTCAATCTTAACATCTTGTCGTTCTGATCTCGACTCCATGCTAAGCTTCTGATAGTGGGGACCAAATGCTCAACCGGTATAACTGCCTCGGTACCATATGCCATTGCAAACGGGCTCTCCCCAGTCGGCCGCCTTGGGGTGGTTCTGTAAGCCCATAGAACGTTCGGGAGTTCATCCAACCACTTCCCTTTATGGTCTTCCAACTTCTTCTTAATGCAGGCGAAAATGGTTCTGTTTGTGATTTCTGTTTGTCCGTTGGCCTGAGGATGACTTACTGCAGCCAACTTCTGGTTGATTCCATACTCCTCCAGCAGCTCTCTTACTTGCCTGCTGTTGAGGTTTGTGCCATTGTCCATGACTATTGATCTGGGAACGCCGAAACGGCAGATAATATTGTTCCAAATAAATCGTCTCACATGAGTCTGAGTCACGCTAGGATATGGTTCTGCTTCCACCCATTTAGTGAAGTAATCCGTGGCCAGTAACACATACTTGTTCTGAGCTCTTGCAGTTGGCAGAGGACCGACCACATCCATCCCCCATTGCGCGAAAGGCCATGGCGAGGCCATTACGTGCAATTCCTCAGGTGGTTGGTGGATCAATGGTCCATATCGTTGGCATTTATCGCACCTTCGAGAGAACTCCTCCGCATCTCTTGACATGTTTGGCCAGAAATACCCTTGTGTTATTGCTTTATGCGCTAACGATCGCCTCCCAGAATGATTGCCACACACACCCTCATGAATAGCTCGCAATACCTGCTGCGACTCTGCGGGGGTGACACACTTCAAGTATGGGCCAAAGTAGGACCTTCTGTACAGCTGGTTACGCACGATGGCGTACTTTGCAGCATTCTTTTTGAGTCTCCTAGCTTCATCCCTCTGCATAGGCAAAACGCCATCTCGAATATAGGTAATGATGGGGTCAATCCAACTCGGTTCATACGGTATGACGTTGACTTGCCAAGGGTCAGAGTCCAAGGGTTCTTCGAAAATAGATGGCTGGGTCAGTATTCCTACTGGAATCACCCTCGCCAATGTTTCACCGGAACTCGAAGCACTACATGCTAACCGGTCTACATCTGCATTCTGTTCCCTCGGTAACTGTATGAATTCAATCTTTGCAAAGTCCTTGGCTTTATGCAGAACGGCAGAATGATATGCCCCCATCGTGTCATCCTTGGTCGCGTACTCACCATTTACCTGCCGAACAATCAGCTGCGAGTCACTATACACAGTCAAACTTTTGATCTGTAGCTCTCTGGCCAACTTTAATCCATTTAGCAACGCCTCGTATTCCGCTTCATTATTGGTGGCTCGGAACTCAAGTCTGAGTGCTTGACTCAAGGAAGTACCCTCTGGGGTTTGCAGTTTGATCCCAATTCCAGCCCCCATCTGGTTAGAGGAGTCATCCACAAAAAGTTTCCAAGAGCCGCATCTAAGGTCTTCTTCCGTATCCTCGGCATCACATTCTAGCAGGAAATCGGCCACCGCTTGCCCTTTAACAGCTGTTCTCGGCTCATACGTTATGTCAAATGAACTCAACTCTATGGCCCACTTTGTCATTCTGCCCGAGAGCTCTGGCCTGTGCATAAGCGTTCTGATTGGAAAAGTTGTTAGAACAGCTATGGGGTGGGATTCGAAATAATGCCTCAACTTTCTTTTTGCATTTACAAGTGCAAGTACCACCCGTTCGGCCTTTGAGTATCTTTGTTCTGTCTCTGTCATTGTTTTGCTTACATAAAATACCGGGTATTGCACCCCCTCCTTGCAACGAATCAGAACGGCACTTGTCGCGACACCAGATACTCCAAGATATAGAAATAACTTTTCTTCCGGATCTGGGGCTGACAGGACTGGTGGATTCTGCATATATTCCTTCAAATGAGTCAATGCTTGTCGTTGCTCATCCCCCCAGACCTGCCTTCCATGGCTCCGAATCGTGTCAAAGAACGGCTTGCAGTGATCTGACAATTTCGAAATAAATCGACTTAATGCAGCTATTCGTCCTGTGAGGGCTTGCACCTCTCTGATCGTCTTTGGCTCGGCATTCTTAATCAAAGCCTCTGCTTGAGCGGGGCTAACTTCGATGCCTCTGCGGTTGACCACGTGTCCCAGAAACTGTCCGGAACTCACACCGAACGAGCACTTGGTTGGATTGAGCCTCATCCCATATCGCTTCAGTACATCAAATACATCTTGCAGATGCTTCAGATGATCATCCTTCTTCCTACTCTTTACCACCATATCATCAATATAGGCTTCCACAATCTTTCCCATTTGATTCTTAAAAATTTTGCTAACAAGTCTTTGATAAGTTGCTCCCGCATTCTTTAGTCCGAAAGGCATAACTTTGTAGCAGTATGTTCCTCGCTCGGTGACAAAAGAAGTTTTTTCTTCATCTGCGGGGTCCATAGGGATCTGATTATAACCTGAATAAGCGTCCAGAAAGGTTAAACGCTCATACCCGGTGGTGGCATCCACCATTTGATCAATCTTAGGCAGCGGGAAGCTGTCCTTCGGACAGGCTTTGTTCAAATTGGTGAAATCAATGCATACTCGCCATTTCCCATTCTTCTTCTGCACGACAACGACGTTGGACAACCAATCAGGGTAGTGCACTTCTCTGATAAATCCCGCATCAAGCAGCCTATCGACTTCTTCCGCTATGATTTGATTACGTTCTGGAGCAAATCTTCGCTGCTTCTGTTTCACTGGTTTGAAATTGGGATTGACATTCAGGGAATGACAGGATACGGAGGGACTAATTCCAGGCATGTCTAGGTGACTCCATACAAATACGTCGGCATTGTGGGACAAGAAATCCACTAGCTCTTGCTGCTCTTCTCTGGTCAGTCTTATACCTACTCTGGTAGTTCGTTCTGGCCTGGACTGATCGATCTGCACATCCAGAAGGGGCTCCTCGGTCAAGTTGACTGACTCCTCCACCCTGTTCTGCTCGGGCGGAGGTTCCTGTAATTGCTATCTGGGGCTTGCCGAACGGACGGGCGCCTTCCCTTTCCCAGCATGCTTTAGTGTGACGGAATAACACTCTTTGGCTGCAACCTGATCCCCCCGAATGTCTATCACTTTATCTCCATCGGGTCCGAGGCACCTCATGACCTGATGCAGAGTTGAGGGTACACCTTGGACTCTGTGAATCCATCCTCTTCCCATCAGGAGATTATACGAGGGGTGAATTTCTACAACCACAAAAGTTTCCATAAGAGCTCGTTCTGCAGCTTGAACTTCCACTTCCACCATCCCGACGGGCTCCACCCTCTTCCCATCGAATCCTAACAAGGGATTTCCAGTGGGCTTGAGCCTCTCTGGTTGAATCTCAAGCCTATCAAATGTGTCCCTCGGCATGACATTCGCACTGCTCCCAGGATCGATCAGAACTCTGCGCACCAAGCAGTCCGCCACTGTTAAACTGACTACCAACGGGTCTTCATGGGGCAGTTGAACACGCTGCAGGTCTGTCCAGTCGAACTTTATCTGCATGACGGGCTCTGCTGGTGTAGAGTATTCACACTGCTGACCCTTTTCTTCATCTGCGCCTGCCGCAGGCGCGCCCGGAGTAGCTCATCTGACTCTTCACTAGGCTCGGGTCGACCATGGATAGCATTGATTATACGAACTGGTTGTGAATTGTGGGAGCTTTGTTTATGACTCCTTTTTATTTGTTCCACCGGTCGATTCTGCTCTATCGCCGAGCCTTGAACATAACTCGCGAACTCCCCTCTAGCTATCAACATCTCCACTTGCCTCCTCAGGTTCCTGTATTCGTTAGTCTGATGACCGAAGTCGGAATGGAAAGCACAATGTTTAGTTTGATCCCTCTGTTCGAGGGGTTGCCTAATTGGCAGTGGTGGATGAAACTTATCTTTGTTCTCCTGATACAGCCTCGCCAGAGTGACCTTCAGCGGAGTAATCAGCTCTTCCTCCCTGGACCTTTTTTCTGCCTTCCAAGAGGTCTGACGTTGCGGCTGAGCCTGCTTCTGCCTGATCTTTGCCTTGGACTTTTCCTCGGTCGACACGAGCGACGCTGTCCGAGCATTAGCTGCCTCCTCTTCTTCTAGGCGCACAAAGCCATCGGCTCTTTCATTGAGTTCATCCATAGTAGTCGGCGTGTTCACTACCAGACTGGTGTGAAACGGAGTTCCACGTGTCATGGCTAACTTGAAGGCTTGAACTGCTGTAGAAGGGTGGCATTCGATCACCATACTCTTAGTGAGATTAAACCTGGTAAGAAAAGCCTGGAGACGTTCATCCTTGTGCTGCCTCATCGTGAATAGGCTCGAGATGTCCTTCGGCGGGCGCTTGTTGCCATAGTACTGGCTTATGAACCGATCGCATAGGTTTCTGAAGCTACCAATGGAGCTCCTAGGAAAGTTTTTAAACCAGCTGAGCGCCGGTCCGGCTAGGCTCGTAGGGAAACATTTGCACATTAAAGAGTCGTTTTCCGTATTCAGGGCCATTTTCAACTGGATATGGTACACATGATCGATCGGATCGGTTGTTCCGTCAAACAGAATAAAGACTGGCATAGCAAACTTCCTTGGATGCGGGGCATTCAAGATCTCGTCGGTGAATGGTGAATCAACCGTCCGAGCTGCGGATCGGAGAGCTTCATTCTCTCTCTGGAGTCCAGCGGTAGCTCTGTGAGTTACGGTTCTGCCCTCCGAACCGCGATGAGTGATAGTAGCCATGGAGGGCCGGTAAGACGGATCGAACGACCGTTCCTCTATGAACTCTCTTTGCCAAGGCGACGCTACTCGACGGCGATCAACCTCTATCACTTCCTCTCGGTCGAACCTTTCCCGATGCGGATCGAAGGTTATGGCTTCATGCCGTCTAATCTGCTCATGTCGCGGATCAACGTGAGTCGATCCTTCGTGATCCTCAACTCGACGAACATTTGGCGGCAAATTGTCCACCATCCTTTCATCACGGTGGTGAGCTGACTGATTGTTCTCGTCCTGCTCGCCTTGACGCGTGATATTAGATTGAACACCTCCTTCACCGACCGGAAGTGGATGCGAAACCGCAGGTATTTGCCGATGTTGCATTCCAGCTTTCAATTCTGCATTCTCTTTTTTGAGAGCTTCAATCAAGTTCATCAACTCCTCAAGCTTTGTTTGCTGGACAGCCTCCATCGGATTGGAGCTTTCACCTATCATTATTCCTGAACGGAGTAAAGGCATTAATCTCAAGTTCGCGAGTAGATCCGAGCTTCGTGAGTGGGAATTTTTCAGATCTGGTTTCGAATTCTCCGAATTATGCTCACCGTTTACGAGATCTGAATTGTCTGAACTCTAAATCCGTCAGATCCTGCCACAATCGAACAACTCGTTGTTGCGTAGATCTGAAGCCACTTCTGCCAAAGCTTCAAGAATTGTAATTCCTCCAGAGTAGGTCACAATCGCTCAGATCTGGATCCAAATCCCAAAGATCGAGTCTCGATCAACCGAATTGGTCTGAATCCACTCGATATTCCTCATTGATCAACCAAACTTCCATGCGATTCCCACAGACGGCGCCAATTGAAGATGCAAGAAATTCATACTCTCTTTCTCTCTCTAGAATTCTTACATTTCAATAACAAGATCCCCCTATTCTTTCCATTCCTTCCCTTATTTATAGATATTTACAAGATATTTACAAATACTGACGGATTGCTGGATCTGGGCCTGTTCCTCCATAAATCCTGGTCACCTTTGATGGGCTTATTCGCGTTCGGCCCATATGGCAGTGTCTTTTTATGGGCCGACCCAGCTGTACGGACCGGATGTAGTGCTTGCAAGTCAGATCCGGCCCATGTCGTCCTGGGCCTCCTCAATACTATATTAGTTTTACAAGTTAATTTGTAAAATTAAGTTTTGTTTAGTTTGCACAATCTGTACATTCTAAAAAATTACAAGTTCGTGTTCGAACCCTGAAGACGCGTTGATCTTTTAACGGCTGAGGGTACTTTTGTTTATTTGAAAGGGTCAAGAAGGTAACTGGCCTTTTCAATCAAATTCTTAAGGTTAAGCAAATCATTAAGCAACAAAAAGGATCAAAATGTCATTTTATCAAGTAACCTAGCAGGTAGAATGTACAATTTTTTGAATGGGTGTACTCGTATTTGAGTCATCCTCTGAAAATTATTTTATATATTACTTTTATATATATAAATTTGGTAAGCCTCTATATAAATATATATATCTAATTATATATATATTTAAGTTGACAAAAAAATTAAAATTAAAAAATAGTAAAACAAGAAGAAGATTTGGATATCATCAAAATATCAAAGGATAAAAATTAATAGGCCAGAGAAATGAGCAAAAAAAATAGACCTTCCAAAAAAATATGAGTTATATATATATATATATATATATATATATATATATATTTGGATTTTCAAAAATAATTTTTTTTTTTTTTTTTTGGTACGCCTAATTTTTTTTACTCCCACTTGAACATATATTTTCGAACCATATAAGCCAAAATTAACCAAATTAGAGAATTTACTCCCACTTGAACAGATACTTTCGAACCACAAAACATTAGCGTTTTGAAAATGCTTTTAAAGTGAAAAATAAAATCACCTATGAATGGATTAATACAGATGGTATGCTCATTGCTCTCTCTCCTTTTGTTAAAAAAAAAAAAAAAAAAAAAAAAATCAAACAACACGTAATTTGGATAAACTTCAAGAATTGTCAAAGTAGCTTATCTTTAAAAGTTTATTTGTGCATTTATCATGCCACGTAAATAAAAGTGGTATCAAATCTAAGAAGATGAAGCTCGAGTTAGGCCAAATAAGCCAAATTGGAGCTTTTTGTCACGGGCTTAGAGTTTTAACAGCACTCTAGCTGCTCTAGTGCGGCACCAAGACGTTGTTTCTATTCTCGCAAGTACTTGGTCAACCTAACTTCCGTGCACACCTTAGCCAACACACTCCCCTCGTGCGCTTACTAGTGTTGTAGTGGCTCTCGCGCTCTCCTCACTTGGCTTGCACACTCACATACACTAAGGCACTTATGTTGGCAAGGAAGGAACATTTCTATTACTTCAAAGAGTGCTTTGTAAAAGACTAGCACTCAAACTTTTTACAAGGTTCTCAAGACTCACTCTAGGACTTGTTGGATACAAAATGAAGTCCTACCCCTATTTATAGGCATCCTCATCCCTAATGGATGGCTAAGATGCATTCTAACCAACGGTGGAGATCGATTCTCTAGATTCTTCTCCCACCTTCTTCACACTTCCATACTTATTTACTAATATCTACAACATTCTAGAACTCTCCATACTACTCCACACAATTCGGAGAATTCTAGAATATACTACACATATCTAGAATCTTCCACACAACTCTAGACAACTCCGGAAGATTCTAGAAACTCCAATTGTCATGCAGTTATCATGCAGCGTCCTCCTCAGTGCCTGCGCGGCACAACCTCCATAGGCTGAGCGTGACATTTTGCTCTTACCCAAACGGATATTCACAAACTCGAGGTCCATCCTCTATGCACCGCAATACAATAAATATATTTTCAAAAGTGAAACATAATGTCACCTATTGAGTATTGACCAACAAATATTTAATAAAATGAACATTATTACTTCAGATGATATATTTTTTCAGTCTTTCCTCTTTGAAGGGAGGTTGATTATTCAAGCCATTAGGAATAATATTGTAATAATGTGTGCGCATTTACTTGAACTTTAAAAATAATAATTAATTAAATAAAAATAATAATAATAATAGTAAAATGATATCACGGAAAACCCAAAATAAAATTTAAGTAGGACAAATTGCATAAAAATCTCCTCCATTTTTTATTTTCGGCACAATACCCCTAAGATTTGATGGCTATCCAATTGTTGCAACACCACCCCCACCATACACACCCCATTTAGTTAACCGTTAGAGTTAGTATATTATAATGACAAAAATGCACCTTAATAAAAAATTTAAAAAAAAAAAAAAAAAAATTAGGCTTTTTGAAATGATTTTTATTTTAGGTTTTCTTTTTCTTTCTAATTTTTTTTTATAAAATAGAAATTTAAGGAAAATATGCACCATTAAAGTGATGTTATAATGACAAAAATGCCCTTTAATATAAATTTATGAAAATTTAAGTTTCTTTAAAATGATTTTCATTTTAGATTTTTTTTCTTTATTATTTATAAAAAATAAAAATCTAATAACATTTTGAAAATATGCACCATTAAAATGAAAATCTAAGATGAAACCATAGTTTAACATCACTTTAATTGTGCATAATTTTCAATCATTATAACATCACTTTGATAGTTTGTAATTTTCAAAAAAAAAAAAATTAAAAGGAAAAGAAAACCTAAAATGAAACTTATTTTTTCAAAAATCTAAATTTTTATTAAGAGCCATTTTTATTAAATTATAACTAGGGGTGCAACTTAGGTTGGGCAACCCGAATCCAACCCGAGCCACGCTCAATTTTTCTTAAGCTTGGACAATCCTTTTTATAATTAGGGTTGGACCTCGGTTGAAAAATCTCAAACCGAGTTTGATTAGGATTGAGCTTAGGTTGAGGTATTAGCAACCCGAGCAATCCTGAACCCGAATTCTAATATTATTTTCATATATATTTTTAATTTTAAATATATTATATATAATATTTAAATTATGATTACGTTTTTCTTTTCAACTTCATTCGTTAAATCTTAACTTATTGTATATTAATATTTAGGAGAATTAATTTTCTAATAAATTGTTTGTAATTTATTAAAAATTTATAAAATGTCTTTAAACCTTTTTTTTTTTTTTAAAGAGTAATTTAATCTAAAACTAATTCAAAATCATATTAAATTTTCGATACGAAGATTAGCCATATAAGTAACCCGAATTTTTAATTGCCACCCCTAGTTATTAACAGGACGGGGCCTCCGTGGGGCGGTAAAAATTGCCACTCCTAGGTGCACAGAAATAAAAGCTTTCCAAAAGAATCCATTTTTAGATTTTATAACCTATCCAAATTCATAATTTAGGCTGTGTTTGTTTGAACGTAAAATATTTTTTAAAAAATAATTTTAGTATTTTAGTTGTTGTAAAATATTTACGAAGAAAAAAATATTAAAACTAATAAAAAAAATTTATTTATCAATTTTCGACAAACTATTTTACACGTCCCACCCGATGAACTCGACCTAGATCTTTACCAAACACTAAAAAAAAATTTATCTGAAACGTGGAAACAAACCGAGCCTAGTTACTTCAAATTTCAGAGGATTATATTAAAAATCTCAAAAGAGAATACTTAAGTCCCATTAAAAAATGAATATACCCAGTGTTTAGTTAACATTAATTCTTGTTTATCTTGGTGTCCGAATGATTAAATTAATTCTAGGAACTTTGCACCCTTCCCCTTCCCCTTCCCCACTAACCCCTAACATTCTTTTAAACACGTGAATGAATGTAAAAGAGCCTCAAAAAGAGATGAGGCAATGAAGCATGTATCAAGTAAGATCCAAGGTTTTTTATGGTGTACTAGTGGTGTAATAATAAATCGTGCGTGCTTCAATTCTAATGGATCACTTGTCCCAATATATTTTGAGAAAGAGCATAGACATGAGCCGCCTGCTATAAGGGAGGATGTCCTCATAAGATAGTATTTTTCCAAACCCATTTTTGGATTAGATTTCTCCATGGTAAACACCTCATTTTAATCAAGCACAAATATAGCCAAAAATAAAATGTCATTTCAAGCCCATCATCTATAGATCTCAACAATAGATCTCAACATAAACAGTCCATAAAGTAAAACCAGTACAAAAAAAAACAAATTTCACCCATATAAGAGCAAATATCTACCATGTAACAGGCCACATGGTTAACAAAAATACAAACACCTCCAACTGATATAATTTAACTATGCCAAAAGGGACAAAAAGAAAGGGAAAAAGGTGTGTGACATCCGCTCATTATTTATATGGTAAAAACTTGATTTGCTAGTATTATATACAAGTTGGTCTCCTTTTCCGTTTTTGCATAATATGGTGAGCAACCAACTCATGAAGAACAAGATAGCATGCACACACCTGGACGATAAGCCCAGGCCGGAGGCAACCTAGCATATTTTTCCATACCCGGCTGCTCATCATATGGCCGTTCCATAACTTTTAATACCCTGCGAACCTCTCCAAAATCACCCTGTTCAGCTGCATCTATGGCACTTTGACATAAATAATTCCTGAGTATGTACTTGGGATTCACAGAATTCATGGAAGCCTTCCTCTGCTCATCTGAAATTCCGCTAGCAGATATCTGTGGAAGCAACAAGAGCAACGCGATACGTACATGAAATTGTGAAGGGCATCAACACGTTCAAATGGTAAAAAGAAAAAACAAATTGTTGCAAGTAAAATACTTGTTTAACGGGTATTAGAGAAAACCAAGAGACCCATTAAAAAAATAATAATAATGACCATGACTCACCAAATGCATTGATTTTCAACCAAACTAAGATAGTTTTTCAGTTGTTTTGCAAATAAAAAATATATATATATGCACACACAGAAATGGCCATGACTCACAAAATCAAAGAAAAATAATGACCAAGATGGGTAGAGAAAAATACCTTCATGCAATCATTCACTCAAAAGCCAATAATAAAAATAAAATAGAACCCCAAGGGGTTGGGGCCTAGTTGGAAACCACTTAGGCCTTGTTGCCTCATGAAGCATCCAGGTCTCAAGATCGATTCCTGCTAGGTCCAAACAATTCTTGGATGGGGTGTGTGAGTACCAACTAGGAAAAAAATAAAAATAAAGTAGGTTCTCAATATGACAAAGAGCGAGGTTTTTATGAACAGCTCAGGCTTACTCGTTAAATACAGCCGCAAATGAACCAAGTGCTTTATGAACAGCTTGGGCTCACTTGTTAAAAGCCGTTCAAAACTAAATGACCCGAGATTGAACATATATTTAAGACTCGTTTAATAAGCAAGTCGAACCCGAACATTGTCAAGCTCAGCTTGTTGAGCTCGTTTGCCTGCTTTGCACACTCTCCTCTCAGTGCACACAGTTTTCCTCAAACGCTTCTACACAGTTAGGGAGTGTCCACGCATATAAGTGTCATCAAACCTCTCCCCCCAAGCGATGTGGGACATCACACCCATAATTATCACCCTAATTTTCACTATAGCTCTTTGCATTCTCTCAAACAGACTATATCACAGGCAGCGGCACTAGGCGCTTTTTCCGTCACCACCACAACGACAACCTCACTCACCAGCGGCAACCACAAGTACCAGCCTCGCTCATCGACAGTTGCCACAACCCAATAACAATGGGGAACAAGGTATCTATCTCTTTTTCTCTTTCTATATATAACACATTTCTCTCATTTAAACTCACCCTCTCATGCCGAAATCACGAGCATCGAGAAGACGGAGATTGGTATCGATAGAGTTCATGTCTACAAGCTCGAGCAGAGCCCAAACTTCTAGAAAAAGTGCTGAGTCGAACTTGAACTTGGTTACATTGGGCTCAGACATACAAGAGCCGAGCCCCAACATGGCGAGGCTTGGCTTGGCTCGGCTCATTTGTAGCCCTAGAAGGCTGGGTGCTAGGTGCTAACTAAGGGCTCAAGAATAATAATTTAAGAAATGAGCCAAAATTGAATGCAGTTAGATGAAAAATCTTAACGAATAATGAAAAGCCAGATAGTCCGGTTCAAAGAAATAAAGACGGGGTTAAAAACACTATATATTACAATTTTGGGTAATATTTGGGAAGAGGGGGTGACACCACCAGACTACAAAATCTTCCAGGATGACAACTGAATAGCCCAAAAACCAATTTGAAATGACATTTTGATGGATGGTATTGGTTTCCATCAAAAAATTCTAAAATAGTCTCTTCTTCCATGTTCTGCGGAACAGTTAGAAAATAGTGGAGGGAGTAGGAGGATGGTAAATGTTTTGGAGTGAATCCTATCAATGCGAGAGTCCTGCATTATTGGACAGACCTCCTAAGAAAGAGATCATCTCGATAGAGCTAGAATTAACAGCCATTAAGCTACACCTAAAATACTGATCCATGGAGCTTTCACAAGATTTCAATGGGAAAGAACATGCAAATTTTAAACCAAGGTTGAGATGATTCCAACATGCCCTAATTCTTTTATTTCCTTCTTCTCTAAGAAGCTCATGAAAAGGTTCAGTAATGGTATTTTGTGAAAACCATTTTCCGTCACATTTTCTTTATGAGCAAAGGGTAAACTAGTGTTACCAAGGAGGCAGATCAGTCTGCCACACTAAACAAGAACATGGCATGCCACATACCCTAAAACCAAGTACAGCATTGGTAGGTTTGTATAGTAAATGAAATGAGGCAGTTCTAGTTACAAGAGTGATTTTCCTTAGCCCATAGATTAATAATGAAAGTTAGAAACAAGGAATGCATGGATCCTAAATATTTTGAGTTCTTCCTGTGCCGGTAGTCCTTATCTTTAATTATTCTTTTAAAAAAATTACCTTCCAAAAGAATTATTTTTGTGACTTTTGATGTTCTGTCTTATAAGTTATAATGAGAAAACTGAGGGAATATTAGAAGTTATCTTCCGGTTACATAAATTCATGAATAATGAAAGCAGAATCGTGGAATACTCGAGGCCGCTGTGGTTGTGAAAGGGCATAAAAAACTAGCCATCACGGGACATAAAAGGAGACGCCAAAAAGAAAAGAAAGAAAAAAAAAAAAATTATAAACCGAAATTATGCTATTATTAGGGAAAATGCAAGTCTAGTGTCTATTTGTAATTAAGGCATTCTAGTTTCCCTCATCCTCAAATATGCGAAGGAAAAGAGTTTCTTATGTATTCATCTTGTATCAAATAATATACAACAATGCCTTACTTTTTCCACTAAATTCTAATTGGTACTCCTAATATGTGTGTGTGTGTGTGTGTGTGTTACGACAAACACCATTAACCAAGAACAAATGAAGAATCATAAACAGAAAAGAAAACACGCCACAAAACACCACAAAGATTTACGTGGTTCGGCAAGGCCCTACATCCACAGTAAACATCAGGCAAAAAAACGGGTCAAAGAATTTTCCTGGGGTACCCCGTTATCCCGTTCATTGCGACTCGGGCCGAAACAGAATTCAGGCCACAACATATAAATATAAGAGACTTGAGTTTTTTTTTTTTTAAAATAAAAAATTATTCCAGAATGATCCCTCCCTTCCTCCCTCTCTTTCACACACAGATGTGCAGAAACACATGCACAACAGCCTCTTTCAGAAAGCCGACATTTTGATTGTGTAATGACATCCAACCAGGGAGTGATAAAAACAGAATTTGAGAGAACATAGGATACGTGTTTTAGAATCCCACTGTCACTAGACTCTTCTACGAGTATATGACATGTATCAGCATTACAATTTCAAACAACATTTGCTTGGGAAAAAAAAAAAGTAAGTAGTAGACAGGGATATCAAAACAACAGATTGGACATAACATGTAACTTGGTCCACATGATATTATTCCTAAAAGTTACCAGTAGTAAATGGCATACAAATCACTAAAATCTCGTAAAACCTATAACTTTGTTGATTTGTAGAATGCTAATATTCTTTTCTTTTTCTTTTTTATAAGAAAAGAATGCTAATATTCTAATATTAAAATTGAAAAATACGGAATTCGAAGCAAGGAGCTCCATTTCTAGTAAATAAAAATAATCACGCGCAGATAATTTATTAGTGCATCTTAATGATCATTATTTTTCAAAATATTAATCACTCTTAACTCTTAAGTTGTATAATAAGTATATAGTTTCAGACAACATCAAAGTACCTCTTGAATGTAAGTTTGTATCCAACTGGTCCATGCTTCCTTGCGCTCCTTGCCAATATCCAAAAGAACAGCCTTCAGTGGAGTTAAAAGTTCATCTTCTGGAATGCTAGGATCAGATTTAATATTGGAAAGCAACCGAAAGAAATTCGTGTAATCAACTTTGTCAACGGCCATATTGTTAAGAAGTTTGCTGATCAGCTGTTTATTGTACTTTGGCAGGCCAAGTTTTTTTGTCATTATGGCCTGATACTCATCCATAAATTTGGTTCCATATCTGTAGCAAGTCAAGCACATAAATGTTCAACAAATAGCCAGCTAGCAAGAATTGTTATGGAAAATGTTTAAAAGTTTACACCTACCTTTCCATGGCATAATTTGCCTCTTTATCATTTATCAACTGAGCAGCAGAAAGGGTTGAGGCAAATTGCGCTATATTCCACAAGCCAATGTCAGGCTGATTTGCGAAGCAATACCTTCTTCCCGGAAGATCAGTGGTATTTGGAGTGTAACTGGGATCAAAAGCATCCAAGAAACCGAAAGGGCCATAATCAATCGTGAGACCCAACACGCTCATGTTGTCAGTGTTCAGCACACCATGAGTAAAACCAACACCCTGCCAGCTTGCCACCAAGGAAGCAGTACGCTCAGCAACCTCTACCGTCCAAGCTGATGTCCACCATTGTAAGCCAAAAAAGGAATTGTCAAAATAGATCCTAGAGTGACTTTTTTTCCCCCCAAGATATGGTAAGGGTATGCTTCAAGCAATGTCTAAAAACAGGGGCAATGAGAAAGATATAATTCAAATCTCTTAAAACTAAGATGAAGCATCAAACTTCAGTATTGTAAGCTGTGTGCATGGTCCATGGCGTTTATCTAATAAATTCTAATAGAAAGTAAGACATGAGACAATGAAAGAGGCAGTCATTCTTGAATTGTTTTGAGGCCACATTAACCCTGAGTTATGGGATCAGTATAAGAGGAGAAGATTTAGAAATCTTTACCAAAAGAACCAACTTGCCACCTAGTAGCTTATTTTCCTATTCACGTACTTAAGTTTGAAGTAAGTTCCTCCGCCATTATATATAGGGGTATCCCTTCACCTGTGAGATAAATGAATTTTGAAGGAGCACATTGCAGACTTTGGTGCTTTTGTTTTGAGGTGCCATAAACACTCTAGAAGAGTGATTCAAGAAAATCCTAGACAACAATGTGCAACTCTTTCTGTTTTAATGAAGTGAATGCCTAAAAATTACATTTCCATCACTTTTACCCAGTAAGTGAGATCTCCCCTATACCATGTTTGAATGCAAGTGTTCAAATAAATTACAGTGTGTAACTCACAGTTCGTAATTGTCAATAGAAAAGAAACATAAATTTAATAGAGGGTGCCGACTCCCATCCGGGTTTAGACATTAACTGGGAATCACATAGTGGTGTCTGGCCCATATCCTATTCACTAACCAGGACTAGACTACTAGGACCAGATAACCACTAATTGCATCCTAAGTTGGATGCCCTCGATAGACTCTGTGTCTATTAACATCCATACATCGGTCCCAGTCGTGTCTTTGAACAAGAGCCTTCGGTCCAAGAAGACTGAAACAATATAGGCATACAGACTCATTTTCTTAAAGTTGTTTGGGAAGTACATAGATATAAAAGAGCAGGAGTGATCTCTAAATAAGGAACATGGAGTAATTTGCAAGTGCCAAAGTGCAGGCTTTGAAAATGGAGTAATTTGCAAGTGCTGAAGTGTAGGCTTTGAACATGGATTAATTTGCAAAGTGTCGAAGTGCAGGCTTTGAACATGGAGTAATTTGCAAGAGCTGAAGTGCAGGCTTCCATATAGCCCAATAGCTATACAAACTCATTTTTCAAAAATTGTTTGGGAAGTTCATTAAATTAAAGAATATAAGTAATCTCTAAATGAGGAACATGGAATAATTTGCAAGTGCCGAAGTGCAGGCTTTGAAAATGGAGTAATTTGCCAGTGCTGAAGTACAGGCTTTCTTATAGTCCAAAATGTCATTACATCATGTTGCTCTTCCCTAAGAGGATGCTTGAAGAGGAAGACAGAAAACTAATTTTTGCTATTATTTTTACATAAACTGGCTTCTTTTAGACTAAAACCCACGTCACACACTCATCAAACCTACTTATAGGCTACAGTTTTTACTTATTATCCATTCCACGCAGGCTGCATTTCACCTTCAGTCCACAATGATTTAAATTATCACCGACGACATTTGTGAAATTAAAATATTCACCTGCATACTTGTTTGAAGTTAGATCCACAATTGAACTGTCTTCCTCGCCTGTGCTAAAAGATAAACTTTCACTCTTACTCATGTTCTCGAGATGGGGGAAATGATGCCTAATGGTGTAATCTGCTAAACTACGAACAATGTCTAAGGCACTTCTATTGGCATGTATTTGGTATGAACCAAAACGCAGAAAGGACGGAGCAACTCTGCAAACAATGGCACCAGGTTCATCCTTCGGATTCCCACTGCAAGTGAATAAACAAAGAATGATCAGCAATGAAACTAATTATCCACCAAAATCGATTAAAAAAACTCCTACAAATTCTTATATGTTCCAGTTATATATATAGATAGGCCCAAGAATTAGTAACAGCAGAATATTGTCTTTGTGCATTAATTTTGTGCTTGCTAATATAAAAAGTCAGAAATAAACTCATGTATTTTCCTTCCCCAAAAATCATCAATACTAATAAGTTTCTGCAGCCAAATTAAATGACTTTGGTGAAATAATTGAAGGGGCCAAACTTTGGAAATTTTAGAAAAATATTACAGTGGAAATTAATAACCTCGTGAATTTTATTTTATTTCTTCTACGGAAAAGGAAGTATTCGAAATCTGGAAGTTTGGCAATCCATATAACTAAAGGAACAGTCAAGGGGTATACTGAAAAACGAAATCATTATGTTAGCAACAAGCGTATCATGATTAAACTTTGGAGACGTACTCATAAAACATGTCCCGGGTTACATATTTTCCTGTTGTCACAAGACAGAGAGCACGTGTTGTTGGGATTCCCAGACTGTGAATTGCTTCACTACAAAGGAATTCTCGGATACTGCTACGCAGAACAGCAAGGCCATCGGCAAACCGGCTGTATGGAGTCTTCCCTGCACCCTTAAGCTGCAATTCCCACCTTTCAGATTTTGAATTTAGAATCTCTCCAAGAGTTATTGCCCGACCATCACCCAACTGACCAGCCCACATGCCAAACTGATGTCCTCCATAGCATTGAGCATAAGGCATTCTATAAAAGTCAAACATGTTACAAAAGCTAAATAAAGCTTCACCATAAAGAGTCTGGAAATGAATTGAACTAGAAGAATGACACTTACATTCCCACCAAAGGGGATGCCCCAGAGAATATAAGTGGGAAATCAGGTCTTTCAAATCTGCAACATCAAAATCAGTTTAGTCCAGCAAAATAAGACAATACACGACAGAGACAACAGTAAAAGAAAACCCATGAAAATTAGAAAATATGAAATTTTGAAAAACGCTGACGGAAAAAGCCTAGTACAATAGAGGAAGACAATGTGAATCAAAGACTTTCAAATACCAATCAAGCGGAAACCAGAATCAGAATTAACAAATATTAATTCCAGTTATGGGTCAGCTTTATGGATCAGAGGGTTCAAGGCCGTTTTAAAACCAAAAGTCAGCCTTAATAACCGTTGCCAAATTCTTGAAACACCACTTCTTAATAAGAGAGTGGCCTGCCCAAGCTCAGCCAACAACAATGTAGTAAATTTACCCCATAGATTGTACACTTCAAACATATCCCACACAATTTCCAAGACAATGGAAGGGTCTAAACAAAGAACACAAAATGCCCATTTGCTAAGACGCACAGTTTCTATATGTTAGGCAATTAACCACCTAAGAGAGCCAAATGTAATGCAAGTTCCATAAAGAACTGAATAAACCAAGCAGTACAATTCGACAACTCTTTGATTGAAATTATATTTTAATAACTAACCAAAACTAAATTCATTTGTTGTAAACTTGCAGAAATTTTATTCAAGAGTCAGTCGCAAAATGGAGATTTCTAACCAAGCATGTCATCTGCAAATAAAAGATGAGTGATAGGAGTCAAACATCTGCCATGCGCTTGGTCCCCTTTACAACCCCTGGAGGAGAATCAGGGCCAGAAGTCCCCCTTTTAAAGAGGAGGATGGGTGGAGGAGGACCGCTTCTTTTATGAAAATATCCAGAATTACAATTTTTTAACAAGCCAGGAAGCACAAGAAAAGAAAGTACTCACTCTTTAGGTTCCAAATCAAGTAACTCAGCAACTGATTCTGACCACGCAACAAGTTGAGGGTTCTCTACCTCAACAGACGGGGATACTTTTGTATAGCAAGCACGCAATACCTATACCGAGGAAATATTGAAAATATTAACATCTGGGACTGCAATTGTAAATTAGTTTGCAATGACACAATTCATATGGAGACAACACTACAATTTTAGAAAGAAAGAAAGATGTATTTTTAGCACAATTAAATTCACATTGCAATTAAACAGGTATTGTTTACCTATGGTCTGGAGGTATAAGAAAAGATAATCAGAAGGTAATATGACATTTTACAGTATTAAAATGTAACAAGCAAAGGGAGAAGATTGATTGCATTAATTAAACTAAACAGTTAAACAAGTCGTAAAAATAGCAATTCAGCCTCCAATAAAGAACATATAAGGGACATGTAAGATGCTACTTCTGTTTCTTATTGCTGATTAGGCTGCTCAGGCTCGGCTCGTCTAAGTCAGAGAGCTGCTCAGGCTCAGCCGAGCTTGGCCTAGCCGGGCTCGAGCTCGGCTCGGTTTGGGCTCGTATGTGGCTGTGTATATATAATATATACACATATATGTATATACTATCTATCAAATCGGGTAACCATTTTGGATCTGGAAAAACACCACCATCACTTCACATATTAAACACTCCTCTCTATTCTTGAGTCTCCTTCACCAACTTCAATTTCATCAATGATTTATCAGATCTATAACAATATTATTAAGCTAGAGAGAGAGGGGGAGGAGAGAGCTAGATAAACCTAATTTGATGTCGCTTAGGAGTATAAGACAGTCACCTGAGAAGTAGGACGACGGAGTAGGACGGTGGATTTCCGTTGCAATATGCCAATGGGATTGGAGAAGATGGTTTCGACATGTTGCGGCTGTTTCTGAGGGTGTTTTTTTTCTCTACCCTTAAGATATTATAAGGTGAATCAATGGCTGAGATGAATTTAGATTTAAATGGGCTACTTAATTAAATGGGCTTCCAAATGCCCAAATATTAATTGGGTCAATAAAAATATATATGAATTTGGGCTATATGGGCTATTTTGAAATAATATATATGTGTGTGTGTGTAAACGAGCCTGCTCACGAGCCGAGCTTAACATTGTTCAAGCTCCGCTAGTTTACTAAATGAGCTTGAAAATTGAGCTCAAGCTCGGCTCGTTTACTAAACGAACGAGCCCGAGCTGAGCCCGAGCTGTTCATGAAGAGCTCAGTTCATTTGCAGCCCTACTCTTAAGTAAAAAGTTCCCCCCAACACCCCGCCCCTCTCTTTTCCAACACCCGGGTCCACATGATTTTTATCAAAAAGACAAAATAGTGACTTTAGCAGATTCAATTTTGCCAGGTCGTCCACCAACCATCTCATTCGCATGAAACCCACTAGCATCAGACAAGGGGAGTAACGTTAAGACTAGAATAATTAAATTGAAAATAGAGGGAGATAAGCAGTGTCACGCCTCTAGTGGTAACCAAAAAGCATGCTGTTCATTCAACCAAAAGCATAACTTTGAGTACCAAAAAAAAAGTATAACTTTGAGCAAGAGTGAGACTAGATTATAGAAGCACTACAGCAGAAACACTCCATAACATGCAACTTAGTGGTCTTTGTAAAAAATCTCAAGACACGTCAACAATCTTTCTGACCCATCTTGACAGTAAAAATGAGATCACCACAGTAAAGATTTCTAAAACAAAGAGTGTGCCTCAAATTAGTTTCCTTTTTCATTTGGCAAAGGGCCTAGACTTGTGGAGTAAATTGTTTCTCACTAGGATGATTCTATTTTAGAGCTGGTGATTGATATGGTAACGCCTTGTAGGCAAGTTGTGGAACTCTTGCCAGGATTTCGGAATTGAAGACTGTATAAATAGAGGTGACGTAAAGAGAATATTGTGTGAAAAGAAAAAGAGAGAGAGAGAATTGTAAGAGAGAAAGTTGTGAGAGTTGAGAAGTAGAGAGTATGTAATCTTTCTGTTGAAATGAAAGATGGTCGTTCTTCGCCCATGGATGTAAGCAATTTGCTGAACCACGTAAATCCTGTCTTGTTTGTGTGTGTGCTTTCATCTGTTTTATTTGCCATTATAAGTGAGATCTTGGGGTAATTCCTAACACAAACAATAAAGTAATAAGGCACCATAATAACTAATTGATTCAAGGTCTCTTTTTGCAATAAAACATGTGCAACTGAAATGACAAACACCTCAGACACACATCCAGAAGGGAACCAGCTCATGTTCTCAAATTTCCATTTTTCAAAAGTCATTTGAGGAAAAGGTGGTACTCATCTTAAAAATCCCATAAGGAAACTATATATCATTTTCTTTTTCCAGAATAATATCATGTGTTTTTATTATGAATAACCTGAGATTCCTAGATATATTCCATCTAACTGAACAAAAGAATTTATTGATGTCTGAGGGAGTAAAAGAAAAGTGTTCAGGGTATTTCCTAAAAGTCTAAGGCTTCCATAATTAAATATTTAAAGTTACAACTTCGTAATTTTTTACAATAATGTCATAATAAAACAGCAAGACATTCGACAACCAATAAATGCTTACCTCAATAGTGCTCTAAACTGTATATGTTAAAAATGAGGAGGCTGAATCAAAACGTACAATTCAGGTGTAATATTACCAATATATTCCAGCATTCAAAAGAACTGAAGCAGAACTTCGAATAAGTAACAACAGAATCTCCCTATTAAGAGACAGAATGTAGACAACCAATATACAGTTTGTTAACCATGGTCTGGAGCGCACCTGAGTCTCTGCATATTGGTTGAGTCATAATGGACTTGGCCAAGTCCAATACTCCCCGATATATCAGTGAAAATTGGAATCGGACGAGTCTCTTTGGAGTCTATAAGGAATCAGGCATGATGGGGTAAGCATCGGAACCCTAGACTCTAGAAGAGCCAAAGAGAGTGTGTGCAAGGTCCGTGATCTAGACATAGAGGGGGTGATAGCTCCTGTTGGCTGTCTTAATACAAAAGAGACATACCGCTACATTAACAGTTCAATAACCCCAAACCCCCTAGTTACCTCTTGACACAGATTGGTCCGCCAATCTCACACTGAGTCTCCAAGTACAAAGTCCGTTCCATCAAAAGATTGCGCTCCACACGCGATTCGCTTCAACAATAAAATTTTTATCTCTAGACCAGTCGTCCAGCCAATTTCGGTTGACTGATTGTTTGGTGTTGAATTTAAATGCAGATCCGTTTGAATGTAGTGTCAACACTCGTAGAAGAACACTCACCTATCGATGATTGATGAATGAAAAAATAATAAGATGCACGCACTCGTTTCTCAGTTATGCTATATTGTATGTTATCTGTGTCTAGGTTTTCTGAGATAATAAGGTATTTATAGAAAAGTAGTAGATAAATTAGGGTTTTAGACTTACAGTTTGGGAAAAACAAAACTAGCTTTCCAAAAATTTCAATCAATCAAGGAATCAAGTCAATCAATCAACATGCATCGAGTGCCCTGCCATTGATCAATCCATCGAAGTGCCCTATCTTCTATGCCTAGAAAGTTTTCAATGTAGAAGTTTTCAAAAATTTATGGATATGAAAATGATTTTCAAAATCAAACACAAAATCTATGAGACCCTAATTGATAAACGCATGAACCCTAATTTTGGTGAGTGCATATATGCATGTCAAATTACATTTCTACCGTTGGCTTTGAAGATTACAATTTTCTCCTTGGTTGAAGCTTGAATTCAAACTTTGACCATGTCCAAGAGGCAACTAACTTGACACTTACTTTTGAAAATACAAGTACGCTAATAATTAAAATAAACATACAAACTCTAGTTTTGATCACGAAATATGTCAACCAGCCATTTGATCAGTCCATCAAAGTGCCCTATCTTCTATGCCTAGAAAATTTTCAATGTAGAAGTTTTCAAAAATTTATGGATATGAAAAATGATTTTCAAAAAATCAAACACAAAATCTATGAAAATACAACTACGCTAATAATTAAAATAAACATACAAACTCTAGTTTTGATCACGAAATATGTCAACCTAAATCCTACTGACCTAACAGACCAAGTCATCAGATCTGATTGTGTGCAAGGTCAAGAAAATTTCATTACTGCAGTTTCCTCAACTGTTACTAGCGTTGTTTACAGCCTGTGTCTACTATAACACGACTACATTTGTAACTTTGAACTATGATGTTTAACCACAAAGGAATAACCAAATAATTTACTAGGAAAGCATAGTATAAAATATCAACTGAGACAGGTCAAATCCAATTCAATTCATCATTCATCAAGATCAACTTATTCAGAAGAGTATTCTATGGCTAATCATTGTGATGTTTGGCCCAATACTGAACATCAGAGCAACAATAAACTCTATAGACATTTACTACAGGCAGGGCTGGCCCTTACCCAAGGTGACCAAGGCGGTCGCCTAGGGCCTCAGAATTTAAGGGGCCTCAAAATTTATAGGCCCATGAATGATGGGCAACCAAAAAAAAATATATTTATGTATAGAAGGCCTCACTTTTAAAGTTCGCCTAAGGCCTCTCAAGATTTTTTCAATTTCAGGGCCAGCCCTGACTACAGGTGGAGTATGTGGAGTATTATTATCCTACCACGGAAGCTGAATGCAAAATCCTATGTTAAGAAATGTCGTTCTTGTCAGTTACATGACAATCGCTATGCTCCTGAGGTGAATTTTCATCCACCCTCAATTCTCAACACCACAGCCCTTTCACATCTGGGCTCTAGAATTAACCGGACTGTTTTAAATTGCCCAAAAAAGATAGAATTGGACCATTACTGCAGCTGAGATTTACGCAAAATGGTCCAAAGCTATACCACTTAAAAGAACCAATCAAGCCAGCTATTTTATGCTTCATTCAGGAACATATAATTTGTTCAGGAATTCCTAAATTAATCTTACCTAACAATGGCGTTCTTTCGTGAATTTACAGGTCGGTCAACTTTTTGTATCCCATGGCATTGATCATCATAAAGCCACACCACATTATCCCAAAGCAATAATAAGGAAAAGCTACAAACAAGACACTACTTAAGATTCTCAGCATGCCAATGAGAGATTTTCCAAAGAATTGGGGTTGTGCATTATGGACGCCAAACCTCAAATAAAAGTCCCACAATGACTATGCCATTTTATCTAGTTTGTTGAATCAAAACAATATTTCCAGTAGAGATCCTTGTTCCTTCAGCTGCTTCGGTCATAACAAGTACCCTTGATGGCAGAATTCAATTAACCCACTCCAGACCTTATAAGAACAATATGAAAAAGCTTAAACAAATCTAAAGGTGTACCAAAAATGCATTACACGAGCTTACAATGAACTTGTAAGAGCATGGCAATATAAAGTTGGAGACATGGAATTTGAAGACTTTGAATCATGCTATGAGAGCGACTCCGAACCTAAATTCATAACCAATATGATAGAACCTTATGAAGTCTAAGGAGATTAAGAATGCATCGATTCAACATTTTCCATATGCTGATAAATTACCATGTAATTTCCCAACCAAAAATAAATCTTCAACTTCAATTAGAATGAGAATTAGAATTCTATGCCGTCATCGAATTCCATACATATTGCTAAATCAGTTATAGCGCAAACATTTAATTTACGAGATTGGCTAAAACAACTAGATTTATACATGAAAATATATAGAAACACACATATATATACGTATCTGTTATCTGTACAGAGATTTCATAAAAAATTAAATCCTTCATCTAAAGAGATCATCATAAATCCAAAATAAAAAGGGGTTAGAGCAACAACAAAGACCTCTCTCGGCATCGTATCGGTCCTGGGATCGCCAGGCAAGTCTCGAACAAACGAATGGTCCCACTTCAGATCTTCAAGGTTCAATTTGACGTTATCGTCGCAGCAACTCTGTTTCTTGAAGTCATCGGCGAGAGAGTCCACCGACAAATCGGGGTTTCTCGACGAAGAGTCCATGGAGACGCCGGAGGAGCTGGAAACGGCGTCGCATGCGACGGAGGAGGGTCTTGGTTGTGATTTGAGGAGATTGGAGGGGCGGAAATGGAATTGTCTGAGGGGTTTGGAGGTTGGGAGGAGGAGGGGGCGAAGGTACAGGGCGGTGAGGCTAGTGAGAGAGTAAGGTTGACAAGTAGGAAAGTAGCACGGCATTGGGGATGACTCTCTCTCTCTATATATCTATGTATATGTATATATGTATACAACCACACCACGCCTGTGTGAGCTGCGAGGCTGTGACTGTAATAGTCCTATAAGCTATAAAAGGCCTACATTTTTGGTCAAATATATACGTGCCTAATTTATAATCTTGATTGGTAATTGTCATGTAACTTTCATTTTCACATGATATCAAATCAAAATCCAACAATTTTTCTCTTTTATTTTTTTAAATTGAATTTCACCATAATCAATCATAAATTTTATTAATATAAGAACAATACTTATTTATAAATTATTAGATTATTTGATATTTGGTGGACTAATTTAACAATAATTAATATTGAGATTTCTTTTTAATTTTTAAATATATTTTTATGAGATTATTTTTTAAATTAAAATATTTAAATTAAATTAGTTCGCCAAGTATTAATAGTTTATCACCAACTAATAATTTCTCATACGCTAAGTGTTAATAGTTCATCACCATTTAATAATTTCTCATACTAGGTATTTGGGACTGATCGTTGATGTTGTCCAATTTTATACTGACCCATCACCTTTAGTTACTATTAATTAAAAAAGTTGAAAAAAAAATTGAAATGAAAATCGGGTCAATTTCAGTTCATTTTTTTTATTTATTACTTTTCTAATTTTGTAATTAAAGAATATATATGTATCTATGATTGGATCAAATCAACACAAGCAATGAGTAAGAAGTACTTACTTACAAGTAAATAAATAATAATATTTTATTTATTTATAAAATTATTTTTGAGAGTGATAAAATTCATCAATCACAATAACAATGTGAACTTATTATTAGATAGACCTGAGATGATATCATTATATGTTTTTCAAGACTATTTTTTGAATTTATGTTGCAATTTCACTTAAAACGAAAATAATAAGGATTTCGAAACTTTTATGATGATGTCATTCCTATTCTTCTACCCTTTCGCGGTAGTCGATGACTATTCATAGCTATTACCTTGACATCACTGCTCCCATAAATATAGACTATTTTTAAAATTTATGTTGCTATTTCACTTAAAATGAAACTAATAAAGATTTTGAAACTTTTATGATCGCTTCAGGCTCAAATATTTTTTATTTATTTTTCAACTTGGCAAGAAAATAGTCATACGACATCTATAGAGGCAAAAACAAGATATCATTGTCAAAATAAACACATTCAGTATCAAAAGACACAAAACGTCCAAAACTAACACCCATAAATGTCAAAATAATATCCTTCACAATAACCTACATGAAAAAAGTGTCAGTGAAAGTAAGAGTGCTAGCAGCCGCAAGCAAAGCTAATTGACAAAGGGTTGAGAGGACTCTCAATTATATGCACTCCATTTAAATTTATTTTTCTTTACATAATAAATTTAAAGGCTAATTATAGAATAAAAAATTTGAAAAAATAAAGAATACAGTTGTGATGGTCCACAAAAATTTAGACGTTAGATTGACAATCTTTCATTATTTATGTTCTCTTATGATTACTTGCCATCAGATGACCACTTGTCTAGCTCACTTTAGCCATAAAACTAACTATTTTTTCCAAGTACACTAAAAATGAAATTGATTGGCTTAACAAAAAGAAAGTCTAATAACAGAAACCTCATAAGCTTTATGGCGAAATCTAAGTCCTGAACGATGGAAGTGGGAGCGAGTCGCACACGTGCAGAGTATGAGAGCTATACGAAAATGACATTAGTATAAAAAATTATTTCATTGTATATACATAAACAATAACAATAATGGAGATATATCGATAGTTTAGTGGGTTTGTGTTTTCGGTAAATTTTGGAATGTCAAGTTTCGACGATATGTACTTATTAATATAACTTCTAACCTTTCTTACCTTGTAAACAATAACAATAATAATTTTATCAAATTAAGTTTTTGAGTTTTGGATTAGTTTCTTGATAAGCTTCTAATAGCTTCCAATTTGAACCGTTCCCCTCCAAATTTGGAACTTATGAATGAAACCTTGTAATGCTATACTAATTTTGCATAAATTATGACATGCCTTATTAATTAAAATTCTCAATGCTTTCTATAAATTCCTATTGAACAATTAATCTAAATTTGAATTTTTCTATAATAATAATAATATATAAAAATTTAATGTCCGTTTGCTTTGTAACTCTAGACACAGTTATAAGTAATTCATAAAACAGAAAACTGTTTTAAGAAAATTATAAAAATCAGTTCTCTAGAACACAGCATTTTTATAATTGAGTTGTTAAAAAAAGAAAAAATTTCAGAAAACTGAAACAAAATGAGAGTTTTTGTGCAATATTTTAATTTTGAGTTTTCTAACAACAAAATATTGTTCTAAAATTACAAACCAAACATACATTTAAATTTTGTTCCAAGTGGAAGAAAGCCCAAACATTAAGGTGTGTTGTTTATGTCCATGTCAAATTGGACCATTGCACTGAGTTCATGAGATGAGCCGGGCCCTCGGTCTATTTGGAGCATATGCCCAAGTCCTAACCTCATGCCAGTTTGCCCTTTTAGAGGGCCTTTGTAAGTCTTGCACGAGCTTTTCATATTTAACTTGGGCCTTAATCTATATTGATTGGTCTGGGCTTTGGCCTTGTTCTTACGTTATATATACAGTTTTCATTCTTATTTCTTAATGCAATTGTACAGTTTTCCTTCTCAATACACATTACCATGGAAAAACTAAAAAACAAAAATTAATTTGGCTCGATATAAGACAACACAAAATATCAAGATAAGCAGTTTAGATAGGACGTGCATCATTTAAGTCTAGGTCTCATTTTCGGTGAGTCTCGAACAAGAGATTCAAACGGAAGCATCCCTGAATGACTTACTAGTTGAGTTAGCTTGGGTTGCATTAATATCTAATGGATGGATATTTAGCTTATTTTAAGTATTTGGTAAATGAAGTCTCGTTCAATTCAAAATTTAAGTATAATTTATTTTTATCGTATTATTTAGCAAAGGAATGAGTTATTTTAAGTATTTGGTAAATGAAGTCTCGTTCAATTCAAAATTTAAGTATAATTTATTTTTATCGTATTATTTAGCAAAGGAATGAGTGGGAGGAGAGACTCTAGTACGGACATACCAGCTTGAGAAGCTGGACCCTCTACTAATTAGGTATAATAGGTGGATTACCCATTTACTCAAAAGTTTAAGTTATTGGGTAATACTACATGCCTACCCATTTATACCCATTTCACTTTCCATCCGGATCCGGTGTAGGACAAGTATTCCTTGCAACATTCTCTCTCATCCGAACTCGCAACTCCCTCATTACGGTTGGACCACCCTGCCTACCCGGGTGGGCTCACCAAATGCTTCTGGGCCGGGCAATTGGCATGACACTAGATAAAAAACTGGTATAACTCTGATACCAACTGTAACGGATGGATACTTAACAATTTATCAAAAAACTGAATTGTGCTGCATACTCACTCATTTATACCTTTTTTACTTTCCATCCGGATTCGACGTGAAACAAATATTCCTTGTAATATTAGTCCTCTCCATAATGCCCAAGTGTTAAATTGAATAAACAAACCCTAGTTTAAGTGAATGGGATTGAGGAAGTATGGGCCATGCAGGTAAAGTGGGCAGAAGAGTTGTGTAGTTAGGTCAGTGTCTCCATGAGAAAGGACCTTGAGGGAAGCAATTAATGGGGGTAGTGGCCTCTGTCTACCTCTGGAAGAGCCCTTAAATGTGCATGTGTAGTAGCTTTGAGTGAGATTGAGTACAGTGTAACGCACCTTTCAGTCCTTATTGGGCCCTTTGATGTAAAAGCATATATGAGTCATGAATGAATGAATGAATGAATATCCCTAAAAAATGCTTCCACATTTTTTTTTGTTTGTTTGAGCGCATGGCTAACTATTTGCTAGTCCACCCGACATTATTTATGGGGTCACGACATTCATGCTGTCATTTGTCGGTTCATATGCTTGGCGCCAATCAAATTTTTAAAAAATAAAGAAAAATATAATATAAAGTTAATAAGAAGAAAAAGAAAAAGAAATTGTTAAATTTGGCTAAAAATGTCTTCTTTATACATTCTGAAATCGCAAAAAAAAATAAATTGGAAAAAAAAAAAAAAGAATTTCAAGAAATGAATATAAGAATATTTGTGTAAGTTAGTGAGAAGTATGACTTGTGATTGTGATTTTATCTGGATTCAAAAAGATTATTTCTTGATTTGATAAAACAAAATTAGAAATATGAAGAAAGATATTAAAATCAAGGGGCGTAAGAATTATTAAAAGTAAAACGAAATATATAACATGTAAATTTGATAAGGTAAAAAACGATCCACGTTATAAATATTACACTTCAAGATTATAATTTTTTTCTGTTACATATTATCTATATTGCAAAAAGATGAGGAGATGGTTGGATTAGAGTTGGGGGTCATATAGCTGTAGGATTAGAGTCGGGTAGACACATTAGGGGCAGGCTAGTAATATCTTTTGTGACAGACGAATACTAAATAAATAAAAATGAAATTCTATAGAGTGGTTATTATGGAGCGGAGTCTTTGGGCATTGAAAAAGAGACAACTTCAACACATTTGTGTAACGGAAATGAGGATGTTACATTGGTAATAGGAATCACTAAAAAGAGATGCGATTAATACTGAGCTTATAAGGGAAATATGTATAACCCCTATAAATACGTAGACTCGATTATACACCTATTAAAGAAGGAAGAATTATTTATTTAGAAAGTAAGACCAAAGCTTACGTGGGATGACGACGATCATTCATTCCTCACAAGTCGTTTTATCATTGTTTTATATATATATATATATATATATTACCATTATATATTGACAAAGCATTCATGAAATTTTGATGGTCATCCTGTCGATAGATCCACCATAAAAGTATATTTTTCGCAAATTTCTTCTATTCATGAAAATTACATGGTCATGGCGATCGTGTGGATCAACAAGCAAAGACTATTTTTAGGTAAGATTTGTCCCATCAGTGTAGTAGTCACCACATCATAACCAACATTCATCGTCATATGCTTGTCATCGTCAATTTCATGCTTATCA